CTGCTTTATGTTAAAATGACAAGATGTAAGTTAAAAAGCCCATCATCAAATCACTTGTAGATCTTGCAGAAAGTGCACAGTGCAGCTAAAAACAAATCGGCCAAGTATGATATGTACAGGGGACAAAAATAAACAATCGGTTCGATAATATTTTAGCATATAATTTAGTATCATTATTCATTAGTGAGATTGGGCAAATATTAGATTGTCTGGTGACTTTCCTGGCTTTGGCAAAGTGATTATTCTGGCTTTTAATATAGTGATTCTGGTCCATAGAGACTGTCCCTGCAGAAGCAGTGTAAACACTGTGTTGTTTTTTTCCAGAACAAAACTGCACTGTTTGCACTGATGCCTAAGGCTATCTATATTGGTAATGTCCTCTGGTCTTTAGTGCTGAACTGTATCTTCACGTATGTAAAAGAAATGAAAAACAGCCATAGTGTAACACTGTAATTTCAATAAATTCACTGCTTTATTATGTTAAACTTACAAGAGGTAAGTAGTTAAAAAGCCTATCACCATCACTTGTAGATCTTGCAGAAAGTGCGCAGTGCAGCTAAAAACAAATCCATCCAAGTATGACATGTACAGAGGCTAAAATAAAAAGTTTCCTCAGGAGCATACCTAGGTATGCTGCATTTTTCGGATGACCCTGAGGAAGTCTTACTGTTAAGACCAAACACGTATGGCCACTAGAGTGCTTCACTTTTTATGCTGTAAATTCTATTATAGTACATGTCATACTTGGACGGATTTGTTTTTAGCTGCACTGCACACTTTCTGAAAGAATTAACGTCAACGTTTCATCAGGTCCTGATGAAAGCTCCATGGGGAGCTGAAAAGTTGACGTTGGTTCTGGAATAAAAGAATATCTAAGACACTAGACAGACACTAGAGGGCACTTCCTGCTTCATAGCACAGGTTAGAGCGTGCTAGAGCGTCGCTGGACGTCCTCACGCTGTGTGAGGACCTCCAGCGTCGCTCAATTCCCCATAAGAAAGCATTGAAAAGCATTTTCAATGCTTTCCTATGGAGAGCTCTAATGCGCATGCGCGGCATTGCTGTGCATGTGCATTAGGTCTCCTCAGCCGGCGGGCGGGATCATTGTCCCTCGCCGGCTGACGTGATGAAGGGGAGAAGCGGCGGCGACCCGAAACCACCGCCGAGAGACATCGGCGGGGGTCTCAGGTAAGTCACTGAAGGGGTTTTCACCCCTTCAGCATCCGGGGATGGGTGGTGGGAGGGAGAGGGGACCAGCAGTGCCAGGAAAAGGATTGTTTTCCTGGTACTGGAGAGTCCCTTTAAAGAATTAATTTGGCTCCCTATTTCTAAAAGACCTAAATTATCTGCAATGTTTCCATCAACGAAAATCTCATTAAAAGCTTTGGATGTATTGTTTAAAAAAGTTTAACCCCTTAAGGACTGGACTGTTTTTGCGATGTTGTACATTTGCGACCAGGCATATTTTTACACTTTTGTGGTGTTTGTGTTTGGCTGGAATTTTCCGCTCTCTCATTTACTGTTCCCATACAAATTATATATTGTTTTTTCAGGACAAAAGGGGCTTTCTTTACATACCATTATTTATATAATCTCTTGTATTTTAATTTTAAAAAAAATAAAAAAATATGATGAAAAATTGAAAAAAATACATGTTTTTGACTTTTACTTGAAAAAGCTTTTACTCATCTACAAAAGCGAATTAAAAAAACTGCTAAATAGATTCAAAATTTTGTCCTGAGTTTAAAAATACCCCGTGTTTACATGCTGCTTTTTTTTGCATGTTATAGGGCTATAGGTACAAGTAGAATATTGCGGTTTCAAAACATAAATTTTTTAAATTTATCAATAGTGACATTGTAACACTATTATCTGTCATAAATCTCTGAATAACACCCCACATGTACATATTTTTTTTAAAGTAGACAACCCAGGGTATTCAATATGGGGTATGTCCAGTCTTTTTTAGTAGCCACTTAGTCGAAAACACTGGCCAAAGTAAGCATTCATATTTGTTTGTGTGTGAAAAAAGTAAAAAAACTAAATTGAACGCTAATTTTGGCCAGTGTTTGTGACCAAAGTGGTTACTAAAAAAGACTGGACATACCCCATTTGCAATACCTTGGGTTGTCTTCTTTTGCAAATGGTATGCCATCATGGGGGTAATTCTCATTCCTGGGCTACCATACGCTCTCAAAGGCAACGTAACCAACCTGGCCATTTTCAATGTAAAAATATTTGACCCATATATTTGACCTTGTAACTTTCAAAAATACTATAAAACCTGTACATGGGGGGTACTGTTTTACTCAAGAGACTTCGCTGAACACAAATATTAGTGGAAAACGTATCACAACAATTATATCATCAGTAAAAGTGCTGTTTGTGTGTGAAAAATGCAAAAAAAGTCACTTTCACTGACAATATCATCGCTGTGATATGTTTTACTGTTTTGAATCACTAATATTTGTGTTCAGCGAAGTCTCCCGAGTAAAACAGTACCCCCCATGTACAGGTTTTAGGGTGTCGTAGAACGTTACAGGGTAAAATACAGTGCTAGCAAATTCAATTCTCTGGAATTTCGGCCTGGGTTGGCAGGCAGGTCCCTTAAATTGCAATCAATAAAATTACTGAATTATGTAAAACTATTACATAAATACGCACGTAGAATTTAAATATATATGCATATTTATATATTTGAAGTCTACGTGTATATTTATATAATTATTTATGTAATTTTGTATATGGACATATGTATATTTCTTATTTTTTTTATTTATTTTTATATACATAGATATATATACAAATTCATTCTAGGTGTATTTTGATATAAATATATATATATTAATTTTAAAATACAGTTAGAATAAAATTTCATATAGCTATATAATTTTTTTTAAATTTTTTATTATTATTTAAAAAAAAAATTATTTTATTTAAATTACTTATTATTTATATTTTATAATAATATATATATACAATATATATAGTTATTATATATATTATATATATACGTGTGTAATTTAATTATAAGTGTATTTTTATATTAATATAAGTACATATTAATATAAAAATACACTTAGTATGGCATTATATATAATTATTATTATTTTTTTTTATTAACATTAACTTTATTTTTTTTATTGATTTTACACTAGCAGGAAGACTGCCTGTCAGCACAGACAGTCCCCCTGCAGGTAGACACTAGGACACCTATTGTGACCATGTGATCGCTCTGTTAAGCGATCACATGGCCACAGGGGGTCCTAATTCAGTGTGGGGAGACTGTCTGGGCTGCAGGCAGTCTCCCCACAACCGGAGCCACGCTGATCGCCGCCGGGGGAACGACGGCGATCAGGTAAGTAACGGAGACCGTTAGGACGGTTCAGAACCGTCATCGGTCCTCAAGGCAAAAATGCCGATGACGGTCCTGAACCGTCCTCGGTCGCTAAGGGGTTAAAACCCAACTTGTCTTGGTCAAGAGCTATGCCGCTTTCTATCTTAAATCATTATTATCCACAAATACATTTGACTTATTGGAGCTCCAAATTCATTAACAATATTGATACTTTTTTCAACAATGATTCGTTAATGTAGTTTGAAAAATGTAATTTAAATATGATTTGGACGATAGTTGGGACCCCCGGTACTCCACAATTACTGAGATCCTACAAGAGCAATTTAACATCCCCAATTTTGACCACAAATTTGAAAAATGTAAAATTCCGAACCTTGAAAAAATTATTTATTTCACCCAAATCAAAAATATATGATCTCCTTATGTTACTCTTATTTTTTTTTCAGTTCAAGATTCAAAACCTGATCATATGGCTTGCATTCACATCATCTCTCAAAGGGATCACACAGTGTTCCAACCATATAGAAAATAACTACAAAATTATATGCCGGTGGCACCTGGCCCCTTCAAGACTTCAACAAGAATTCACAAAATATTCAGATAGGTGTTGGAGGGGTTGTGGATGCCTTGGAACTCTTTCACATATATGGTGGCACTGTGCAAAATTGCAACCTTTCTTGCAGGGAATACATTCACCGATTAAAAAGATATATCCGTCAATTATAACATTCTCTTCAGAGATGGGTTTATTCAAAAATTTCCCTAAGACCTCAAGTAAATTAGAAAGAATCATGGTAGACCACATTCTTATTGTGACCACGTCGATCATACCTTGTTATTGGAAGTCTACTACTTTACCATCAATTAAGGAAGCACTGATTTTAGAGCTCGATAACAAAAGGTATGAACTGGCATTGCGGCAACCCTCACCTCAAAAAGTGAATTTGCACTTTCATTGGGACGTCTGGGAAAATGATATAAGTAAAGAGTTTCTCCTGTAGACAATTCCACACGCCCTGTTACATATTGATATACAATATATTTAGACATATAATTGGTTATATTACTTTCTGTATTATATTTTGACTTGAAAAAAAAAAAATTCACTATTTTATTATTATACATTTGGATAGTATCCGTCACCTCCCTTTTTTTTGTTTCTTTTTGATCGTTTTTTTTTTCCCCTTCGCTTCTTATTTCTACTCATTTCTATTGTTAAATGTTGATTTCTTTATATACCAAATTAATGTGAAATGTTTTGAGGGTTTTTTTTAAATA